AGGGAGAGAAGTGAACTAATAGTAGGAATTGAATACGATGATATGAGAAAATATTGTTTTGGCTGTAAATGAGATTTTCTTGAAATTTGAATAAGTAATTAGAACGCTATGTTTTATAATCGGTTTTGTGCAAAATTAATGAAATCCTTTTTCATCTTAAAGTTGAAAACGAAAAACTCTAGGAATGCAGTAGTTATTTGGAATTTTTTTCATCAAATACATTTTTTCAAGTTTGCATAGTTATATGAATTAAATAACGGAATTTTTTCTTAAAAGATTAAGTTCGGGCAATTAAAAGAAATAGATGCTTTTAGAAATCAAACTTCAAATTCTATATTCCATTCAAATTACAGAAAAAAATTAATTCATCGTCACTGATTGTTTTTGGAATTAAGGAATTATCCTACGAATATCTTTTTTTATAAGTCTTTTTTTAAGTATATTTATTGTTCTTAGTTTTTCTGAATCAATAGTAGTCAAAGGATTCGAGTAGAACAGTTTTGTTTGATAAGTTAAGCGTCTGTTAAAGAAATAACAGTTCTTTTCTTTTAAATTTTTTTTTTCGTGTAATTAACACAAAGATTTTTTTAAAAGAAAACGAATTATTATCTTATGAAGTGATTTCATAAAAAAACAACACCTTACAAATATAATATTTTTAAGTACTTAATACTATCATAAAAGCCGTTTTGAATTTATTGAAAATCGTACAAGCAAGTACACGTATGAGGAATAAATAATGAATAAAATTAAATTTAAATACCGTTGAGTTAATGAGTTTAAATATCTTTTTATAAGTCTTACAAGTTATAAATGTTCATAAAGACATTAAATATTCGTTAGAGGGAAAAAAAGATTTTTTTTAAAAAAAAGTAACGTTGTGTTTAAAGAATGAATTTAACGAATCTTGATAAACAGGTTTTATAAATCATATAAACTTAACTCTTAAATTTATAACAGTTGAATTGGTTTAAATAAATAATCCTCTTTCTCACATGTTAATTATATTAAATCTTAGAGATGTATATTTTATTTCTTGTACTATATTTTACAATAGACATTTAATAGTTACATTAAATCGATACATTTTTATTATATCGATTAATTACTTTAATTTGTTATGTAAAAATGGACACATATTCTAAAATTATACCTGTTTAAAATATTCGGAAACTATTATATTAAGAAATAGAACAATGTTTTAATAGAGCAAAGAGACATAGGATAACTTTTTTGACATATTTATTCATTTTTAAAATAATTTCAATAAAATTTCCGAGAAAATTAATTTTAATTAAGAAAAGTTCCAATGAAAGAATATCCTAACATTCACAAAACGTAACTTCTGAACCACTATGGTACAATGTGTAATCCATTATGTTTACAAATCTGGTTTTAAAAGTTACAGTTTTTTTAATCAAAGGTAATGAACAAGTGAGAATTCTTTCTTTCATTTTTTTAAAATATCGTATTCAAATAATCTTACCATTCATCGAAATTAAGCTTAAATCCAACTACTTAATAACAAGGTTAATTGACTAAGTTACTTAAGACATAAGCATAATAAAATTTTAAAAATTTGATAAAAATATTCAGTGGAAAAAGGAATAAATCAGAAAAAATTTACATAATACTGGGAAATTTATAAGTAAAGTATTCAGTTGTATAGAAGTTTCAAAATCTATAATAAAAAAATCTTTTAGTTTTATTATAAACAAGCAGAGGCATTAATGGCAACATTATATTGTTTTGTGGCCAGCTGGGCGGCGAAGTTGGCTAGACGCTGGCCCTGCACGCTCAAGCTTGCAGGTTCGACCCTGGTCCATGTCGATGGATTTTCATAATGCAAACAATCGACAGTAGCCTTTGCCGTACGATTATGCGGCTTGATGAAGATTCTTAGAGTCCCTATTTGGCTTGGGTGCTCTAGGCAAAATTTAATTACTTGCTCCATTTCGCATCGTTAGAGCTTAGGTGCCTCCCTCTGGGGAGGAAACTGGGTTTCAAAATTACATTGTGGTAATTGGTATCCACTTATATGGAGCAGCACTGAAAAGTGGTATCAGCTCTTGGGGAATGTATTAGGTCTGTAATGATAATTACTAATCCTCAGCTTCATCTGAAAGAAAAAGAATATTGTTTTCAAAGAAAAACTGAATGTAGCTGAAGAAATTGAACATTTAAATACTACTGGAGTATTATTTTCGAATCCTTCAAAGAATGACTTAAACTTTAAAACAGAAGATTTTTGTATTAGAAAATGAATTTTGCAAATTGATTTCCAAACTTTATAAAATAATAAATTTTAAAAATAAATTAGCAAATTTTTCAAGAATGAATTATAACAAGTAACTGTAATTACACTTCCATCTTTTCCTTGTATAAAAGTATGTTATAAAAGAAAGCATATTATGAGATTTAAATATTTCTTGCTATGAAACTGTTTTTAAAATTATCAAAAATTCCCAATGACAAATATGACATTAGATTAGTATTTGGGAAATAGGATTTTATAAAAAATTTTGGGTGCACAATTTGTTCAATTTAAATGAGCGCTTCAAACCAATGTCCTTATCTTTTCATTAACAATAAAAAAGCTTCTACACTAGTTTTGTTTCGAAAACAGTCATTTAAGATATTCTAATGCAGAATTTTTTTATGAAGGAAGCAAAGGAAAAAAAAAGCAATTAAAACTTATACATGAAAAAAAAACTGTCTTTTAAAATTAGCGGAAATATTGTCTCAAAAATATAAACATATATTTAGCGAAAGAATAAAAGTATTTCGTTGTAAGTTTGTTTCAAAGAATTCTAGAATAAATCGTACAGTAAAATATTTTTTTCTCACTTTGAGTCACATGAGTATAAAACTACTTTTTACATTGTAGCAAAAATATATGCTATCACCTATGAGATAAAGTTGAGGAGAAAGATAAAATCAAATTCTTTCTTTAAAAAAAATATGGAGGTGTTAGAAATGTATAACCATGCGCCATTTCTTTTAAAAATGCACAAAAACTTCTTTTTTATGTTACATTCATTTCATATTTCATCCCTTGATAATATTAATTAGCAAGGAAAAGAAATTTTTCTTTCAACGTAAATAGAATTATATTTTTGATATTTCAGCCGTGGTATTTGATTAGAAATACATTTCAGAAAAATCTCTGAAATGTAATCTAATTTACAACACTTTTGCGTGACTGCTTCATTTGCTCAACAATTCTCACAAATAATTCTATTGGTGTAAATCTCGTTTTTTAATTTTAAAATAAAACGATGTAAGATTTAATAGAATTTTTCTTCCCGAATGAGTTGACATTTAAAAAGCAAGTAGTTGGGTCTCCCAGTGAATTAATTAGTGATATTAAAAATAACATGATATTGAAAGTTTTTTTTTATCGGTGCGAAGTTTGATTTTCTGTTAATTATGCAACAAATTCTCTCGTATGTTGTTTTAATAAATATCAAAAATCTTCAGCAATTTTTTTTTATTTGAACTCTGTTTGTACGTCGTATATTGTATGATTCTCTTGTAGAATTCCAGAAAGAGATAAACAAAAAAGTTTACACTTTAAAAGTCAGTATTTTTTTTAAAACTAATTTCTTAGTATATGATACTTAGGATAGGATTTAACGAAGTGCAGAAAAGATTTGAGTTTTTGTCTATTTATTACTTTTTGTAGTTTTATATTGTGTTATAATTCTGGTATTAACCACATATGCGAAATATTTTTTAAATCTTTTTCGGCTAAGAAATACGTTTTTATTTATAAACGAAAATTAAAAAAATTTTTTTTTCTTCTATCCATCTTAGGAAAACAGAGAGATTAAGAAATTCGACTAAAAAATCCCTTCATTAAAGTTACTGTTCTGATTAGAGTTTTTGTTATCAGAATTAAAACGAATATTTTGCTCTTGCAGTATATATTTATTTTAATTTGATTTTTTCTGAATATTTTTGTATGAGATAAGAGCTGCCTGACTGATTCAACTGATTTTTCAACAGATTTATTTTTCATGATTGATTTCCTTTTAATAAAATGATTATAAATATAAACGGAATAAGTTGTATCAAAATGCACACTTCCATTTTAATGAGACCTTAAAAGTATAGTAGTAAATATTCCCTGTGGGAAATAAACATTTAAAAATTAAATGAAAAATAGATTTAAAAAACAGATTTTCCAAAAAAAAAAGAAAAAAAATATCACCTGTTTTTGTGTAATGAAAAAGGAAAAAGTGAAATTCCGCACAACACTTCGTATAATGAAATATTTTTTTAAACTTTTACATCTTTTAAACTATATAAATATAAAAGCCCATATATTCAATTAAAACCTCTAGTTATATACAGATTATGTTGTTTTAAACTAATACAAATAATATAAAAAGTTTTTTAAGTCAATTCCTACTTAGATAAAAGAAAACTGTTATATTTTAACTACTTTTTATTAAATAGTTACAATTAATATAAATATGTATATACATATGACAGAATCACAACATTAAGTGGTAATTAATTTTTATTAATTATCATTAAAGTATCGTATTGTCATCCAAAACAATCGTGTCTGTAAAATTTCATCTCAACTGAATGCTTTAAAACGTGAGAAAAAAACCTTTTCAGGTTTTGACACAAGTCGCCAAAAACGACGCTAACGTGGCTGTATTTGTAATTCTTTAAATAATTAGTTTTAATTAAT